CCCTTTCTCAATAACTGTCATTTTTCCGAGAGTTTGGCGTTGATATTGTATATCTCTATACACTGTGCGCCGCACATAGGAGTATTTGTGTAATACAAATAATTTTTAAGCAAAAAACAAAACCGACTTGAATTCTCATAAATATATATATATATATTTCATGATCCAATGATCGGATCTAAGCCAGATTCGTATGGGACACTACCTTTTGATGCCAAAAGAATTATCGAAATCGGTTGACGTGGTCCAAAGTTATGCGGTAACATACATACAAAAAAATTTAAAATAAATTAAAAATAAAAATATTCCGACGAACTGCTAACCTCCTCCTTTTTTGGAAGCCGGTTAAAAACTGGTCAAAAGTCAGATTTATCATCTTTGATTAAAGCGCCTTTAAATATATTTAGGGAGTTCACAAGGTGTTGTATACTGGCGTATTGTTGTATGTCGTAAACTTTAAACGGCTAAAATTATATTTAAGGCATTCACGAGCTACCATAAAAATAAAAGTCGTATTATGAACTTTCACACCGGTAAAAAATATTAGGTAGTTGTTTCAAGTCCTCTAAACATTTATATAGTCGTTAAAAACTTAAGAACATACAAGAATACTTACGACACCTTGTGAACCACCTAATTATTTCTTAAGCTATATAACTGAGCTATGAATGGGCAGTCAAACAAGTTCCCAGTTCTACTTGATCTTTAACGTACGTCAAAAGGAACATATTTTTTTAGGTTTTTTGTGGGCCAATCTTAATTATTATTTTTAAATATCTATTTTTAATTTGGTAAAGGACTAAAAACTTTTGGAACTTTTGAGTTTTAGATGTTTATTAAATACACATGTTTTTCGAATTGATAATGCGTGGAAATGTAGTGATAATAAATAAATGTTATTTCAAATTTAATATTTTTAAACTCTGCAATCAATACCATATGTAGCTTTTTTGAAGCTAAGTAATAGTCTTTACAAACATTTATTTCCGTATACAAAAAAAAATTTCTATGGTTAAAGAACGCAGCTTAGCTGATGTTGAACTGATAAGAATTGTTTTCGGAATTATTTTAGTCAAGACGCACGGTTAACTTAAGTTTTACATTGGTAAAGCTAATAACAATGCATTGGATATAAGATCGGGTGGGCCCCGAATATAATAGAAAATAATTTAACTGACCCTGATAGTTTTTATGTTTACTTCAGAGAATTTTGGAGTATTTCTGACCTGACTAAGGTCCGTTTTACCAATTTTATATATATGTAGATGATTTCTAATTGTTATTAGTACGTCGTTTGTTGTATAAAAATTTTATGCGGAAATACGTTTTGCATGTGAAAAACTTTTTCTTTACGATTTCTGGAAAATCAACCTGCTCGGATTTTTTAAGCATCGTTGCCATGAAACCTCTGCCCTAATATATTTTTGCCCCATTCACACACAAAGCAGCAGGAACAGCCTTTCAACGGGGTTGTTAAATCACTATGGTGGCACAATGCCGGAGGAGCAGCACAATGTAGAGCTGGTTGAACAAAGTCGAAGTTTATAGACATGTAGGAATTTTATTCACAACATATGTACATACTTACAAATCACAATGTTAAATCGGACACCAATACGGTGGTACAATGCAGCAAGAGCAACAAACTTGGTTGTTGAATAACCTGGCAATAAGGTGGCACAATGCAGCAGGAACAGCACAATGTGGAGCTGGTTAAACAAAGTCAAAGTTTTATGGAAATATATGAATTTTATTCACAACATACATACTTACAAATCGCAAAGTTAAATCAGACACCAATATCGTGGCACAATGCAGCAAGAGTAGGGCTGCCAGACGTCCCGGTTTTCCCGGACATGTCCCGGTTTTAGACTATTTGTCCCGGTTCAACCTTAAAATGTCCCGGGTTTCGTTTAAGTGTCCCGGTTTTCGGTTTGATTGCACAAAATTTGAATAAAAGTTCAAAAATGACTACACTGAGAGAAAAAACGCGTTGTTATATTAAGAAAAATGTTATGGGGGAAATTACGCATAGTAAAAATGAATATTTTTTATTTGATTATCGTTTTAAAATGTTCGTATTTAAAAATAATACTTTTATACCACGCACACGTGGTGTTGAATCAAACTGAACATTTGAATGCACATTTACATGTCTGGCTGTAGCTGAGTGCGCGAAGTTGCTTGCCACAATTTGTTAATTTCCAGACGATCAGGGTTCAAGTCCCATTACAGGCAGCATGAAATTCCAATATTTTTTTGTTCCATTCCAAGAAAGTAACAATTTATGTGTCATATCCACCAGCTCCCTATAAAGACAAAATTTTCAAACCTGTCAAGAAAAACGTATTAAACATTAATTTAAAAAAACTAAAATCAAAATAAAGCTGATGACGTTACAGGTTCTCCAAATTCTGAAACAGCTAACTAAAAAGAGAGAATAAAGAATTTTGTGGAAAAAGTTTTAGATAAACCTGACAAATCTAGTTTGGCTTATTCGCGGTGTATAAACAACGATCTTGCAATCATGCTAGATTCTTCAAGTGAAGATGAAGTCAGGAGGATACATCCGATATTTGCAGACCCGATGCGATTCTCAAAAAGGAATTATTCTTGCACCACAGTAAAAAAAAAATTAATAAATAACTGAAAGTCCTCTCAACAGGTGCAGCGTCAATCGAAAAGAATTTAAAATATTGCCAAGTTTCACACGAAGATATTTGTCGCCTCGAGCGGGCAGTTATTTGGTTGCGAAGGTTTGATTTACAACCCTTTAGAAAACAGGCTGTAACCTGAAAAGGCAGCAGCATTAATTTTTATTACAAGCTGTTATTTAACTTCACTTGTATGTATGTATGTATGTCCTGGAACTTTGCAATCAATATTTAACAAATTCCCGATGAGCTACAGACATGAAACTTTAAACTTGGTTTAGAACTCGAAGACAATGCAATATACAAGATGACTTGCCGATAGGTGGCGCAGGAGTCGAGATATTCGTAAAACCCGCATTTATAGTCTGATGTGTTTCATATATACTTGTATGAAAAGAAATAAATCCACACAAAAAATTGCCGATAGGTGGCGCAGGAGTCGAGATATTTAGGAAAACCATATTTATGAACCGATTAAGTTCACATTTAGAATGCATATTACTTACATAAAAAGAAATAACTACACAAAAAATTTTGGCAGTTATGTGGCGCATGTGTCCATATAATTAAAAAATCGGCATCTGTGCTCCGATTTGGTTTATATTCAGAATATGTGTATTACCTATTTAAATCTGTCAAATTTTAGCCGAGGTCAAATATATGCAGAAGATATACCATCAATACGTGTAAACTTTGGAAATGAAGGCATACATGTAATACAGCCAAAGTCAACACAGTTCCCGGAAAAGTTAAGTTACGGAACCGCTGAAAGGAGAATGCCGCCAATAATTCTATCATGGGCATCAACAGTGCATAATATGCAAGGTAGTACTGTGGACTACGCTGTTGTATACCTAGGATCAAAGCTGTTCGAAAAAGGTCAAGCCTATGTCGCACTTATCAGAGTAAGATCGCTAGAAGGACTTAAGATAGAGGAATTGGATAACTCGAAACTGACTGGAAAGAAGCCATGCAATAACGATGCATTGAAAGAAATGGACAGAATGAGAAATATACAGACAATATAATATTAATTGCAAGATTTCAAAAGACTGAAAGGTAGAAAATAAAATTATAGTTAAAAAACTAAAACCACGCTTTTAATACAACAAGAACTAAAAAGTATAAAATAATTTATAGATATAGCGATTCCGTTTAAGAAGAATAGGAAGTTCCCTAATTTGATTTAATTTAACTTTTTTAAATTAGCTAAAAATATGATTAAAGTGATTGGCCCGTAGTCATAGTCAAAATAAAGTCCACTGTAAAGATTGTTGCAGCTTTTTTTACAGATACCCCATTGAAAATTATGTCAAAACGCTGCAACTAACTTAACAGTGGACTTTATTTTGACTATGACTACAGACCAATCACTTTAATCCTATTTTTAGCTAATTTAAAAAAGTTAAATTGAATCAAGTTAGGAAACTTCCTTTTCTTCTTAAACGGAATCGCTATATCTAGTTATAAATTATTTTATACCTTTTAGTTCTTGGTGTATTAAGTTTTTTAACTATAATTTTATTATTAAATACATATAATGTTCCAATTTTTAATTTTAAGCACTACATAAAATAAAGATTATTAAAAATTACCAACTTTTCCATTTTTATTAACATAAAGCATCTAATTTAGTTACATAAATTATTTCTTAAACACTTGACATCCGCATTCGCATCCGCATTCACGGATGTTAGCTTTTAGACATCCGCAACCATATCCACATTAGCATCCGCGGATGTCTAAAATTACACATTCGCAACATCCTTAGTATTTATGTATGAATATGTGTACGCTTGTATGAACGCTTATACATATGTATTTGGGTATACATGTGAATATATGCAGGTGGGTTAGAATTATTGTGTGGGTCATTTTGTTACTTTTTTAACTCGTGTTTGTGGTATGTTGCTGTGATCCACCTTCGGTAGCCACATAGCTACATACGTACATACATAAATATTTGGGAACTACCATCAATAATACTCTTTCGGCTCCTTCGTCGTCATCGTTAGTTTCTATGCTGCCCTATACAGTTGTTTCGACTTTCGTGTCCGACTCGGGAATGCCAACTATCTGCTTCGTTTTTAAAATGTCGCTATTTCTACATTAAATATGTGGCAAATTCGTGTAGCTGGATAGCTACGTTGAGCTGGTTGGTGGTATGTTCGCACCGTCTTCGTAACTTCAAATTGCAGACCTATATATGTATGTATATATGTACTCGTCATTTCTGGCTGCTGTAGATGTTGTGGACTTTTGCCAATTTGAGTCGGCCCATACAGGAATTTCCGCAACATATCCTGATGTGCTGAGCAGCTTCGTGTTCAGTTGCGCAAAGGATTCTGCACTCATCGGACGCAAGTGTCTATTGTGCGGAGCGAGTCTGAGTTCTATTCGGTGTTCAGTTCATTGCTACGTCCAAAAATCGCGTACATTTCGATGCTTGAAAGGTTGTTTTTACCTTATTCAAATTTAACGAGCATTTGCACGAAGCATAAAATGTGAAAAAGTCGTGTGAGAGAAAATATGTCTTTTGTGAGTGATACTCCAATGGCAAATAAAATTATTAGAAGTGCAACAAAATCACATGATTCCAAAAAAAGTAGATCACTGAAATCAAACAAAATATGACATTTTATTATACATATCGTCGTTTAAAGTAAAAAGCCGCGTACCGTCATTCTGCAAAACCGCGTAACTGACATTTGCTGCCAAAAATTGGATTTGCTCACACAAGCTCTTGGCTCAATACTTATCCATTCCTCCTGAAATATACTAGCCAGAAATGCGATTGCTTTATAAAAAAGAACTATTATGAAAAATGGGTGATTACTCTCTAGAAAATGATATATGCAACCTCACATACGCGGTTTTGCATTTTGTTGATATGCGGTTTTGTACTTTAAAAGACGATATGTATGTATATGTGTGTATGCATATAGAATCTGTGGCCGAAAAATAGAGAAATTATTCCGCTTAACATCAAAATCATAAAATCCGTATCTTGAGATAAAGCTGTTGAAGCTGGAGTTATGCTCTCACGAATGCTTACTTGAACTGGGTATGATCACAAGTACAAAAAAAAATTTTCTGAACTTATCGACCATTAAAATATATACGCCGTGAAAATATTTAGTTATGATTGTATAAATGTTTTTGGACAAGTAAATTCATCTACATATTTATTTATATGTACATTAAATGCCTTATTTTGCTAGAGTATTTCAAATCCTCCCTCCGGCAAAAAAAAATTAAAAAAATATTCATTTTTGCAAAAACTGGATGAGCTACTCCGAACTCCGTGATTTATAAGACTGTTTTGTTGTAGGTTTAGGTTCTTATATGAAAAAAGATTAATCTGCACCAGAAAGAAAAAATCTCATGAAGAATAAGCCGGTAAAGCGAATGGCGTACTCAGTTTTTTAATACAACTAACCAGCAAGTTATCCACGCGGCATAAAGTGACTATTTGGTACTATTTTTCACGAATTTTCAAATTTATTCGTTAGGATTTTCCCGATTGAGGTAATTTTTCCAAAATTAAAACACTCAAAATTTTAGCTAACTTAATGTAGATTTTAAGGAAGTGAACATATTTTGAATCAAATTATACTTGAACTAGTAAATTAGGTTTAAGTGAAGCCATGTTGAGAACCACTTTCCAACTTGACAAACATCATCACAAAATTTAAAAGCCAAAGCAGGCGTGGATGAAAGTACCGTGCTGTGGAATACTTTATCCAAGGTGTATTAAATAGGTTCCCAAACTTTTTTTCGCCGCGGCACCCTTCTCTTCAAATGTCTACGAAAACAAGAAAACCACGCAAACTACATGCCCCTTTAGCTTTAATGTGAGCACTGAAATTGTTTTGATTATTTCATTATTTCTTTAAGTTTATTAGGAGCTTTGACAATTTTACCCTGAAATCATTAGACGCTGAAAGCTTGCTGATATATTTGTTTTTTATGTAAGTATTTGTTGAAAATGCAGCCTCACATAGAAATGTAAAAGTTAAAGCCACCAGTATTTTACAACGCTTTTATTAACTTGCAATGTTGTGTGTCCAGACCACCATTTATACTATAAATATAGCAAAGGTATTTATGGCAAGCCTAGTCTAGATATCAACCTCGTCGAAGGTATCATATCAAAGACATGCAATTAGAAAAACTCTAGAGGTAGATGTCGCCCCGCCAGAATAAGTTAAATATTGCGCCTAAAAATATGCACTACATACGCTACAGCGGAAATAGACGACACGCCATTTCTTTAAATGAAATTAATTGTTGCTATTTGTATATATGTACATGTATATGTATGCGTACGGCGCACGTAATAGTCCTGAATTGATATGAAGAATAATATATGTGTGTATGTGGGTATATGAATAACGACCGCTTAAAATCCATCTCAAATCTGTACTTTCTCTGTAGAAATTGTAGGTCTATGTTATGCAGTTTGCTTTGTATTGCATGCGCTCCACGTTTTTCGTTTTCAATCTCATAAAATGTTTATAATGACTTTTGCTAAAATTTCAAAATCAAAAGGTATCAAAGCAAATTCTATGGGACTGGGAAATATTATTTTCTAATTTTTAGTCCATTTATAAAAGCCGAGTATATTAAAAATGTTTTTATATTATTTATTTAATATAATCTTGCCAACAGCAGTGTTTTCTGAATACATTTGCAGCCAGAACTCTCTTGGCTCCCTTCGTAGTATTTAATATTCAAAGTGCTGTCTTCACTGTTGTCCAGAAGTTTTCAAAAGCTTAACTTTTCTTCCCAGTAGGTTTACTTTTAGGGTCCCATGAGAACGGGTTTGTTATCCAGCTGTAGACATCCTCAGAGTCAATGTTGGAAAATATTCGACAATGGGTTTTTCTAAACCATCCAAGTTAACGCTGGTAATGCGCGTTAACGCTAAGGAAATAACTTGTATGATTTTTCTTCGCGTTAACTTCGAAGTTACCCACGTTTTTCTGATTTACTTTGTTTATTTATGGGGTTTTCATGCAAATTGCTAGAAATTCTAAAATATACATGTCACCAATAAAAAAACTCTCGACGTGCTAGAAAAAACCCAAAGATGTATTTTCATTTTGCAGGCCTCTGTTATCTTAGAAACTTCATCCAATGCGGGTATTAAATCTAGTGGCGGCATCTTCCTAGTCGCCAGGGAATACAGAGGGATCACACAGTGACTTCTCGTGGCGTTTTCTGCCTCTTGCTTCATCCTAGACATCGCTCCTTTCGTTTTTCCAACCACTGCGGCTGTTCCATCACTGCAAATATCCGCCCATTTGTCCCATTTCAAACCATTTTTCTATACAAATTTGCCGATAGCTTTAAAAATTTCGTCGCTAGTGGTGTAAGTCTCAAGTACTTCGCTCATCAAAAGTTCTTCTTCGATTTGCATTGCGAATGGGTACCTCCCCAGCCAGCAAAAAATCCGAAAACCGATCCGAAAAAGAACAAAAAAGTGGATGAAGTGCGGATTTTTGTCCGTTTACTGATTCCATTTCCGGATACTTTGACGATCCGTTTTCCCACTAAAGTGTGCGGCAGAAACGTATGTACAGACAACAGTATGTGAACGGATACGTTTTCGGCTGTTTTTTCTGAAATTTGTCTGATTGATTTTCGTTCAATACGCTTTCCTTCTGCACTTAACAGATACTTTTTCATGGTTCAAAAGAAATAAAATAAAATTAGGAAGCGCCTGACGGAATTCGGCACCTTCTGGAAGCTAACAAATAGCGGCACACTCTTCTGCACGCTCAGCCACTGCCAACTACGCATGCATGCTTTCAAATGTTTAGCTTGAGCAAATGAACTACAATTATTGCTTTGAAATGACATCATCTTTTTCGAATGTTTTCCGGATACGAAAATTAATGATAACTGTAGGAGTTTTTCTATTCGTTTTCGGATACGGAAAATTGAACTAAACTGCACTGTCTGCAAAATTTGCGTTTCTTTGCTGGCTGGGTCACTAACAAGAGAGGAATATTAAGGGCCAAACTACGCACTGTGAATTTGGCCCTAAGTCCCACTACGTCGGTACTTTCGTCAAGTTTCAAACTAAAAAATTCACAAGTTTTCAAACATTTTATAAGTTCGTTCTCGACTGCCTCTAAAATCGTGTTGATTCGCTCTTTCACAGTGTGGTTGTGAAGTTCCAAAGAATAAGTAACATATACACGTGCGCGAAGCTGCTGCGCTTGTTACGAGAGCAGCACAGCCAGCAAAAAATCCGAAAATTAATCCGAAAAGTGGATGAAACGGGGATTAGGTCGACAAAAGTACCGTAAATGATTGTGAAAAGAGTACGTTTTCGGCTATTTTTCTGAAAATTTGCTGATTAAATTTTTCGTTGACATAACATACTGGGGAACTACGCTTAGGAGCGAAATACACCACACAAGCGGCTTGAACAACCAAGCGAAATATCCCTTTGCTGCAAGCCATTTGTGTTGCGTATGGGGTTTGATGAGCCGCTGAAGGTAATTTTAATAAAAGTTAAATTTTTTTGATTTTCTGGCCGCCATGTTGAAGTTTGATCAAACCGTTGCATTGTGTATGGAAAGTTTAAATAATTTGTCCGCACCACTAGTATACTCTAGCCACTAGCGGCACCCCAGAATGCCGCGGCACCCACTTTGGGAAAGCCTGCAAGAGGTGATAGCAGTACACCTTTATTTTTCTTCGCCTCACGGCTTCATATGTAAAAGGCTGCTGTTTGTTGGTTGGAGCTGTTGATTGTTTTGTGTTTTCTTTCACATCTTTCGTAAGAAATTTTTGACAGTTCTCGCCGCAAGACCCAAAAAAAAAAACCACTACATTTTGTTATTGTCGTACCGATACCACCTATTGAACACGCCTTGACTTCATCTATATTCACGTCTGATAATTACATTACTATACATATTACACTAGCCAATACCAGCTTGCTTTGCGGCGCCCTAAAAAACCTTTCGAACTGTAAAACAATAATTCAATCGGTTAAGAAGGACGGCAGCAAATGGTTCCTAATTAAAAACAAAAAAAAAAAATAAATGAACTTTAAGTTGAAAGAACTCTACTTCGGTACCACCTAACGTGTCTATTTTTGGTAGGTTGATTATATTCTATGTCTGTAATAAGCGTACGTGCAATTTCAAGAAAATCGGACCATAGATATGATTTTTTCGAATAGGTCAATCCCTAGTAGAGTTATCTAGGGCCAAATATTCCAGTCCGTTCAGCCTTTTCACGTGATTGAGTAACAAATATACACTGAAATCCGCTTAAATAACCAACATTTTTGGGCAACGTAAATATTTCAATGTAATCTGAAGAAACTCCCTCTCATAAGTACCTCCCCGCTTATTTACCCAACCCGCGGAAGTACCTATATTTTTCGTACCCCATTTACCATTTTACTTATAATTTTTCCCTTTTAAGTGCT